CGCTTCTCTCCCCGCAGACGCGCTCCTCCGGCCGCGCGTGAGGGAGCCGCCCGCGCACGTGCAGGTGGACCGCTGGACTGAGAAACGGGCCCTCTTCGGCGTCTACGACAACGTGGGGATCCTGGGTGAGCCGCGGCCGCCGCGGGGAGCCGGGCGGGGGCGGGGCCGACCTGCGGCCCTGACAGGGTTGCGGCGGGCGACTTGCCCCCGTGGGGCTGCGATTGGGCTGTGCCAACGCTCCTGCTGGGACTTAAGAACCGGAGGTTCATGTATAGGGCATCTGGCCCCTTCGCTGGGGGCCAGCGCATTGCTAGGTTTGGGGTCAGCAAGGAATGTTACCCCCCAGTCAGATTGGTCCGGACTGAAGGAGGCTTTGCCTTGCTCTGCAGCTGGGAGGCATAGCTTGTCCCCGGGATCTCTTGAGTGTATGTTGATAGCGCTTCGTAAAATCAGGACAGCCGCAGCTCCTCTGTTACCTGTGATGGTGCTATGTCTGTGCTGTGCCAGGGTTGACGGTCTTAGGTCAAGTTTAGATGATGGATTTGTAATGGATGCTTTGAACATCCCATGGGATTTGTATGGGATAAACCTGCCTCAGGCAGGGTGATAGATTAGATGACCCCTGGAGGTCCTCATGCCTCTGTGATTCTCTAAGATTCATTGAAATGAGGCATGAAATAGGAGCTATGTTACCAGGAACAGCTGACAGACAGAATTGCAAAACAAGGGCTGGCTGGATTGGGGCACCACCAAGACCATCAAAAGAGAGAGGGCTGGTGACACCTGTGGAATGAAGACTTTAGAAGGAGTTGGGTAGACTTTCAAGAGCCATGAATTCAGTCAACACTCTCACTGCTGCCTGAATGGAAATGTATTATTTAATTTAAGATGGAAGCAAAAAACCCTCCTTTATTGGTAAAGTGATTAGTATGCAGTATTCTATGTTGTATAGAAAAACACAACAAGCTAGGCAAATGTAATCCAGAGACTCTGTTTCATTCATTCTGGGGTCAGTAAAGTTAAATGTACATCTCTCTCTCATTAACCTGACTTAGTCTTTTTTAACTCTAGCAAGAAATATCTGCAGGGCTCTGAAGTGGGTGCAACTTGACTAGAAGCAGCAAACAGACCACAACATTGCGATAGCTGGAGTAGTGGGACCCATCTAGTAGGACAGAGGGTTGTTAGCTCCTGTGGAATGAAGAGTTTAGAACAGTGCTTCTCAAAGTGGTGGTCCGAGCCACCAGTCGCCGGTCCACAGCGAGATGCCAGGAAAGAAAGAAAGATTTTCAGAAGCATAACATTGATATGTCATAGCGCCACAGTTCATACGTTCCAACACTCCAGGTGACGTCATGTCGTGCGAGGTGAGGAAAGAGAAAGAAACAGCTGGTTGTGCATTTGTGTAGCGCTGTTGCATGCAGTTGCTGCCACCAGCTGAACCGGGCACCAGTCCCTGGCCTGCTTGAAATAAAATTGCTGTTCCGCCACATCAGATAGTTTGAGAAGCACTGGTTTAGAAAGAATCCATTAAATTATAATGAGGTCTGAGGTCAATAGGCTCTGTCACTGCTGCCTGAATAGAAATGCTGCTACTGCTGCCAGGCAGTTGGCTTAAATTTTGGATGGACAAGGAATCAAAGGGGAGTGCAAATGTATCAGTGCACATTTTCCCCCCCCCCCCGGATTCACCCCTGATTTCGGTTTGTGGCATCTGGGACTAATGCCCCCTAGGACTCCCTTTCTCTTTCTCTCACTGCTTCTGTTTTTCTCCCACTCTTATTGGCTCTCAGGAAACTTCCAGGCTCATCCCAAGGACCTGATCAGAGGCCCAAAGTGGCTACGAGGCTGGCGAGGGAACGAGCTGCAGAGATGCATCCGCAAAAAGAAGATGGTGGGTGATCGCATGTTTGACCAGGATTACAAAAATCTTGTGAAGAGAATCCGGTTCCTGTACAGACGCTACAACCACACCAAGTTGCGTCACTAGGATCGGCCTTGCATTCCACCTTTGTCCTGGAGGCCAGGATGGCTTCTTGGGGAGAGCTGAGGGAATGTGTGAAAGATGTGTACAAATCAGGTAGTTTGTAAAGCCCTCATAATAATAAATTGAGTTTCTTTTCTACAACCATCTTGTAATTCTGCAATTACACCTGTGCATTCACTTCCCCTACTTGATGCACGTTGGTCCCAACCCAGGGTCCCTTGCCTTTTTTTTTTTTTTTTGGTCCAGAGCTCCTAGTTGCCTAACTTTGCTGATTCCTTTTGTTCCATCTCCTGCTATGCTGTGCTCCTTCCAGCAATTCATCTGAGTTTCAGGCTCTCTTGATTTTTTTCCCTTCATCCTCAGTGAGAACCCAGCAGTAAAGAGTGTGTGTGATAATCTGCTCCTTCCCTCCATCATGCTGTTCTGTAACAGGCCCCAAGTGAGAAGAGATCTTTAATTTAATCAGTTCCTACATTTGGCACTAATCACTCTTGTTTAAACAACTTTTTTTGCTTTTCCATTTCACTCTACTCCCATTGCATTCTTGGTGCTGTTTGTGAAGTTACAATTTGCTAAGGATGTGCAGCATGGTTGGAGGGGGAGAGGGTTGTGGATGTGGTCAGTGTGGTGGGTGCCAGGCCTCCTTTGAAACATCAGCAAGTTGGTTGACTCCCCTTAAACTTGCATCCAGTTCACTGAGTAGCACTACTATTAAAAACCTTTTGATAGTATTGAGAGTTCATTACAGAAACACTCACAAGCAGAGTTGAATCCTCTGCAGTGGTGTGGGGAAAGCAGCATCTCTACCAAGCCGCTCCACATCCAGAGTTCGCCAAAGCAAGAGAATCATGCCAAAATAAATGAGTTTCTTTCCCGTAGTGGTGGGGATACCTATTTAGTAGGACATGTCAGGATTGGAAATTGGAGCAGCTGTTAGGGCTCAGTCATAGCTTGTTTCCTGGCAAGCACCATTGGAACTTCTGTTTTGATCCAGTTGGTAGCAAAGTCTGGGAAGCCCTCAGCTCTGGTTGTATTCTAAAAAATAGTGGGATGCAGTGATACTTCAGAACCAGGAGCAAGGGACCTGGCTGAGTCATTTATCTCAGCAAAGAAAGGAAGGACATAGCATGCTGATGCTTGCATACAAGAGAAAATCCTGGCCACAAGGACAGCTCTGGGACTGGAAAATTCAAACCCTGCTTCTGGCTGCAGGAGAAAATTTTCAGAGTGGCAGAAAAGAGTTGTATTGCTGGTGTGGAACAATTGCCTGTGATGGAAGAACTTTAGTCCCAGTAGTCTAGAGGGAGACCACTAACCTGTGAGTCCTTTTCACCATGACGCAAGTGATGGTAGGTATTTAGAAGCTGGCAATACCTGATTGCTATCAAGGCTTGGTAAGTCAGATGGCACTGAGCAACTCAACTGCTATGCTGCCATGGTACTGTGTGTGTGCTGAAGGGACTTCCACCCTCCCTGAGGCTTTTTGGGGACCCTACCCCCCCTTTCATGAGCTTAGGGAACCATAGAAAATGAGGGTTGGAAGGGACCTCAGGAGGTCACCTGGTCGAACCCCATGCTCAAAGCAGAAGCAGGACCATACCCAACTCTATCATTCCAGCCAAGGCTTTGTCTAGTTGGGTCTTAAAAAGCCTCCAAGGGTGGCGATTCTACAATCTCTGGCTAATGTGTTCTAGGGCTTTGTTTTTCGTAATATCTAACCTAAACTTCCCTTGCTGCAACTCGAGACCATTGCTTCTTGTTCTGCCATCTGCTACTAATGAAAACAATCTAGCTCCGTCTTCTTTGTAGCCAGTCTTCAGGTAGATGAAGGCTGGTATTAAATCCCCTCAGTCTTCTCTTCAGACTAAATAAATCCAGTTCCCTCAGCCTCTCAGAAGTCATGTGCTCTAGCCCCCTAACCATTTCATTGCCCTTTTCTGGACTCTTTCCAATTTGTCTATATCCTTTCTGTAGTGGGGGGCCTCAAAACAACACTAGTACAGTTGTGGCCTCGCACGTGCCGAGTGGAAGGAAATAATCAATTCCCTCACTCTGCTGGCAACACCTACTAATGCATGAGGTTTCTTTTGGTCCAGTCCTCCAATTTGTCTAGATCTCTTAATCCTAATCCCAGCCTCCAGTATATCTACTACTCCACTGCCCCCTACCTCTAGCTTGCTGTCATCTGCAAACTGCTGAGAGTGCACTCCAGACTGGGATCATTTTCCAGATTGTGGGTGAAGATATTGAACAAAACCATAGGCCACGAGAGAGCCCCATTACACCATTCATGACAATGCTGCTGCAAGCTATCCCACCAAGTCGCTGTTGTTCCAATCACATCATAGTTCCATGACTGTGTGAGGACTTCCAATTTTTCCTCCTTGTTTCCCAGGCTCCATGCATTTGTGTGCAGACACCTGAAGTGACTAGCTGATTGCTCTACTTTTTCAGGAAGAAAGAGAAGGCCTTCCCTGTTGTCCCCTCCTGCTTATTCATAGGTTCATAGTAGTTTGGGGTCAGAAGGGACCTGAATAGATCATCTAGTCTAACCCCCTGCCACTGGTTGAAGCACATGCTGGGATCACATGACCTCAGACAGGTGTTCATCCAACCTCTTTTTTAATTTACCCGAAGTAGGAGTGAGGACCACTTACCTAGGAAGTTGGTTCTAGATCCTAGCTACCCTGACAGTGAAATAGTGCCTCCTAATCTCTAACCTGAACCTATTCTCTAGCAGCTTCTGGCCATTGTTCCTTGTCACCCCAGATGCTGCTGGGGGGAATAGGGCTCTTCCTATTTGCTGCTGATCTCCCCTAACAAGTTTGTAGGCAGTCACCAAATCCCCCCTCAGCCTCCGCTTGCTGAGGCTGAACAGGTTCAGGTTCCTCAGCCTCTCCTCATAGGGGCTGCCTCTCTCAAGGCAGGCCACATCCTTCTTAAAGTGCGGTGCCCAGAACTCGACGCAGTACTCCACTTGAGGCCGAACCAGTGTCACATAGAGGGGGAGTATCACCTCTCTGGACCAGCTTGAGATGCATCTTTGGATGCATGACAAGGTGTGGTTGGCTTTGCTGGCTGCGGTCTGGCATTGGCGGCTCATGTTCATCTTGGAGTCAATAATGACTCCAAGATCCCTTTCCACCTCTGTGCTCACAAGGGGGGAGCTCCCCAGCTTGTATTATGCTGTGGATTCTTTCTCCCCAGGTGCAGCACCCTGCATTTATCTACATTGAACCCCATCCTATTACCATCCGCCCACTTCTGTAGTCTGTCTA